AGATAGCTACTTAATATTCCTTTATTTTGAAATACATAATCAAAGCTTTAGAGTTTTTCTCCTTAGTATTTTTAAAATTCTAATTGGGTTATCTTGAACTTATTGAAATTAATTAATGCTTTGTACTTAATAATTATTTTTACTTCTGAGCAAGTCAAAAAATAAATATTTATTGAAAAACACTTTATTTAGAACCATTGTAAAGGTAATTTTTCAACTTTACTTTATAATAATTCAACTTTACTTTATATAATTTCCCTTTAACCCCAAAATAATTAATAATTCTTTTAAGAATGACTAAAGTAAATAAAAAAAATAAAGTAAGCATAAAAACGGTTTAAAAGGTAAAAAACTTCTGCCTTCAAGTACACACACCCACACATACTGATAAGCTACCATTACGAAAATTATGTTTATATCTAATGCTTAGTAAGAAACGAATCGGAATGTTTGCTTAAAAACTAGGGAACTAAATCGAAAGCAAAATTTTTGAGAAATAAATATTCATTCAGTTTCTATTCTTACAGTTAACCAAATACAACATTTAAAAATGCGTTCTCAATTCATACTTAGTCTCATCTTCTTTTGAGCGAGTTTTAATATTTAACAACTACTTTAAGTGAATTCAAAGCTCAATACTGAGACAAAATTAACAGAAATATCAAATCACGAATTAAAATTTGCATTGAAACTTCGCTTGGATTCCTTAAAAATTCAATGCAGAATAAAAATGCTGCAGAGTTTATGGATTGCTATAGACAGACACATTAAATACATCCAACAAGACAAACACTCAGTAAACAAGGAAAAATCTCCTTCCGAACTTTTTCCGTTTGTAGTATACTAAACTATAGTTATATATCGATTCTGAAGTTCTATTGTCTAAAATAATTAATCCAGTTTAAGGTATAAAAGACGGAAAAGACACTGGAGTTGAAACAAAAACTGCAACGTTGACTCAGAAATAAGAATAGCAAGCGTATTTATAATTTCTCATTTTATAGTTCATACTTTTTTATTTAGCTGTTATGATGGATATTTCTAGAATTAACGAATGAATCTCAATTTGAACAAAAAAATATAGAAACGGATTAAAGACTTAATATATTTAGTGAAACAGGTCTGATGGCCTAGTAATTAAAGGACAAGAATATTGCGTTTGTTTTGGGTACTGCAGTTTGCTACTTTAGAATAAGCATTCCAATGTCATCCTCCTCTGACTTGCCTCGTAATCAGGGCAAAACTGCTGAGAATAATGGCTGAGTCTTTTAATTTGCTCAAATCTTTTAGTCCTTATTGTATAATTATGACGATATTTATTAGATCTTATATACGCATTTGAGCTTAGAATAGTTCTATATTCAACAGCATTTGCCAATATTCATGTGCAGTTTGTTTTTAAACATCTGACTCTTCTTGCATGGTTTATTTCTATTGTTCCATATTGTCATCTACATAAGCTTCATAGTATGATGATGAAGCTGCTGCTTCTTCCGACTGCACTGTGAGCGAAATGATGCGGTAATATTTTTTTTGTTTAAGGAGATCTTCCTAGTTATGTATTTGGAGCATTAACTAGCTTCTCCGAATTACCTTTAAAAGGAGTAGTAATGTGAATAACATTTTATTTTCCTTTAGGATGAAGATCTTTTCGTATAAGGATAACATCCCGATTACTATTGTGTCCGTATCGATGTACAGCAGACGATAATATTTCGCTCCTTCTTCTAATCCAACCATTATATGTTTAGCAGAAATAACATCGAGCTTTTGCTTCTTTTGGTTTGGTATATGCACTGATGCGGAGCACCAACTGCTTCTATATGTGACGGCTTCTTTTTGTGCTAATTCACGTAACGAGGATCTTTTAAGCTCTTTGGTAAGCAGTGCATATTAAAGGTAGTTTATTATTCTGCTACCTTCCCCTCAATACCCGTTTGAAATATCAGCCTCATTCAGCATGATTCTGGTCATTTCAATCAACGTAAGATATGTACTACCTTCAAGACTCCATGTTATTTAAGAGAATATGAAGCAGTTTTCTCATATATTATAGCATTTCATTTTAGCAATTTCTCGAGCTTTGCTTGCATATTTCCTCCCCTCTATCAGACTCAGTTGTTTTGTGCTTTTCCAAATAGCGTTATTACCTGATTGATAGAATAAACGGTACTTCTTGAATTTCTTATTTATGATTTAGAAATTTAACAGCGCCTTATGAACTAAAATTAGCAAAACATGTTCACCGAATCCAGGAAGTCGCACTTCTGCATTCTTTTTTTGTTGAAGTGCAATCCTTGTAAGTCAGTACATCCATGTCAATTTAATACAGAGCGATATTCATATAATTCAGCCATAACTTCCTTATACATCCTTAACTATCTGGCCGACTTCTATGGTCTAATATTATATGCCAGTCATGAATGCATTCCGGGAGGGTTTGTTTTGTGGGAAGAGCATACACATTTTCCTTAATCTCTTTGGTATAATTCTTTTCTGGTACAAAAGAAACATAATATGTTAACACACTCAACAATATGAAATTAAGCATCTTTCAAGTTCACTTCATATATATTGCCAGTTATCATTTTTACAGATGTTATATTTATAAACATATCTGGAACGGAAAGGACAGCTTTGTTTATGATTTGTATTTCCTTTTTCTGATAATTTTGAGGCATCACTAAGCAATTTCCTTCTTTCATTGTATTTCCAGTTTGAATTCATAACTTAATCGAGTAGTTGCTTTTATTATGCTTGCTCTCCAATTTGGCATATTTCTTTCAATTAGGCCTGACGTGTTATACAACTAGCTCTGATGTTTCTTGCAAAAGAAGCAAGTAGGTACTTTATTTTTGTCATCTGAAAAGTTATGAACGGATGAATGCGATTTTAAAGCTTTACGCTTATTATCTGGATGAAATTTCTTAGTTTGGGTTTGATAAGTATACCTTCCCAGCATTATATTCTTAATTAATTCTATCGTAGAATCTGCTTCTGGCCTAGCTTCTAAAGCTGTTATTAGCGTAGCATAGTAACCAGCCTAAAATAAATTAAACAAATATTCAGGTATTTTCTTATCTAGCGCTACCAAATGATCAACAACGGCTTCCATTTTTATTAGATAATAAAAAGCTCATTTGCTCTTTATTGCCATACAGCAAATTAAACAATCTTTTCAAACGTTCAGCTCTTCGCAATACTGTTTTGAACCATACGGTTTAAGCGTATCCCATGTCTCCTTAACATCGTAAACTTTCAAATAGTTATCGCGGAATAAAAGTCCTAAAGTAACTCTGGCATTACCATTTTTTTAATTACATGTTAATGTAACATGTTGGAAATTCCGTCATAATAACACACCTTTAATCCTCCTCAATACGCAAATCTTTGGCCTTGAATTTCGATGTCTAATAATTCCGACCGTTCAGCATATCGATCAGCAAAGCGACTAAAACCTGTAGCTCATATTATTGTCAGATCGAAATATTGCAACTAATAAAATGGAACAGTCACATTTCATCGATTTATAAATTAAATTGCGAATTGTGATTATTATTTATTGTTTGGAAGACTTCCCTTGGACACTGGGTCCATGACTTGAAGATAAATTTATTGCACCTCGGGAATAAGAGGTGAATGAAAATAAGAACAAGATTACTTGACCGAAATCTCTCAGTTGCCTCCTATAATCAAAGAAGTAAAATTCGTTATATAAAAGTCCATAAATTCTTCAGTCTGTTCTCAGTTCTCAGTAAGACCAATTCCAATAATAATGAAATTGATTACCTTGACCTTACAATTCTCAACTTATAAAGTAATTAACTTTTTGCTTAAAAGATTTCTTAACTTTCCCACTTCTTAACTCATACACTTCTTAACTTTCTTAACTTCTTAACTCATATATCGGAATTCCGATATTCTCAGGAAAGGTTTTTGCTATCGCCATTAGCAATTGGATTGTAAGAATTAAAATATTTGAAGTACAGTTCAAAACATTAATCAAAACATTCGATACCTAGAAGTTATACTTATCCATAATCGAATTCCACTTAATTTTATTAACTTACTTCTTCAAACATTACACATTAGGTAGTTTTAATTTTAACTTATTTTGATTTATGACAGGGTTTATTTAAACCAACTTTGCAGGTACTTACTGGATGCTTAACAAGTGTAAATATGAATGTAAATTGGTAAATAGTCTATCTCTGTTACTAACAAGCGGCCATTGCTATTCCAGTCCTATTATACGCCAAATAGAAGACGCCGTTTTACTTTTTTTTCTTTTTAAAAATTATTTTTACTCCCATTACCCCTATTTCTTTTCCTTTTTGACACACACTTAAAAATTAAAAAAAATTACAAGCTTAAAATTTTATTTACGGCTATTTGTTAATAAATGAGATACATTCCGCAAGAGAAGAACAGGAGGAATGACCTTGTTTGTTTACATTAGATATACATAAGTCAGGTGATCTCTGTGGCTATCGGAATGTATCTCATTAAATTTTTAATTCTTTCCAAATTTTCATTCTTTTAAAAATATTTAAAAAATTATTTTAATTACCAAAATTAATAACAATTAAATTTCCAATTTTTTACCACTTTTACTAACTCCACCACTTTTATTTTTCAATTTTACAGACTAAAAAACAGACTATATGTTTCAACTCAGCTCTTCAGTTTCAGATCTCAAATAAAATTTTGAAATAGGCGATTTGCAACGTGACCTTTAGTTTTGGCAATTTTTTTACCTTTTTTTTTCTCCGCTTTGTATACACAGTATTTACACCTGGAACACGACTGGTGAGCACAGTTGCATTATGCAATGCACGAGCAATTCTTGACTTCAAGTATTTAATCTTCTATGAATATACTTAAAAATTAAATAAATATTAGTGTTTACATCTCATTTTTAGATTTACCCATGAAATAAAGAAATTAAGAGCTGCAGTTGTATGAGCTACACATAAAATAATTATGTAACATGATAATACCGGGTGCATGTAGTCTCTCATAGTGGTGGATGTGGTTTCCATGTCTCCCGAAAACTTTAAAGTTGATTTGAGTTTCTTAATAGTATCCGTTTTCCGATCTCTAGAATGCATGGTATAGTCATTTAAGTGTGTAGTCAGGGTTGTTTCTACACATTCTGTTGGCATGCCTGGATTGCAATGCCTTTCCCAATAAGAAGATGCCCTGAAATAATACCAAGTCAGAGTCAAAATAAGTATAAATTATGTCAGATAAAGCAGTTTTTGTACATTCATATGAAATATTAACTTGCTTTCTCAGAAAAGTCAAAAACAAAATATGGTTTACAATCCATCAAAAACGTTACTTGCGGTTTTTTTTATTTCATAAGCTATTTTGATAAAAAGCACTTTTTTGGTACATAAAAATGTGCCCTCTTTTGCATTTTTTATTTACTTTTTTATCAAGCGTATTATACACAACTCACACATAATGGACTGTAACTTTTCACAACTATTAAAATTTTATTGTTATAAACATTACACCGTTCATGACTACTTGCAGTAATGAATCTTCTCAATATATTTAAAAATATATGACCTTAGGATGCAGTCAATTGTATAGATTGAAAAGCACAGCAAATTCTGTGTAAGTATTATTATGATGCATGCGTAGACGGAACGTACCGTTAGCCTTGACATGATATTATGATTCAAAACAGTTTACAATGAAAAATTTCACACAATGTCAAAATATAAAAATACAGGTAAATATTATCAAATATCCACATAATAAGAAACTGCAACTGTGGGGTTGATGTTAATAAAGGAATACAATTAGTTACTTACGAACACATTTATTCTGTTTTACTTTGGCATGAGTAGGACACAAAATGAATTAATGGTTACCGCATTTTGTTTTTACTTAAACTATTCTAACCTTACGGTATTTGCCTAGAAATATCCCTAGAATTCTACAATAAACCAGTTACATACGGGAGCATTGTCAATTATTAAAATTACCATGGTTCCAATTTTTATGTTCTCCTTTTCAAAGAATTACTTTGTTCTTCCTTGCATTGCGCTCAAATAATTTTTCGTCCAGTATTTCCATACTCTTTGCACAATTTGACTCAGTTTCGCCAGCTCTTTAATCTGTTTACTCAGTTTTGCCACCTTTTTAATCTGTTATCATTAACATTTAAAATATTAGGTTCTGCAATTGAAGTGATAGGTCTACATATCAGGAAGTGACCCGGTGTCAAGATGTCAAAGTACTCTGCAAGATGCAAGGACAGAGAATTAGAGATAAGTTAAATTTGAGCAAAGGCTAGTTTCAAATTGCCCACTGAGTGTTTTGAATGAAACTTGACAGCCTTTACGCCTGCCTTCGAAAGGCCTAAAAAAACAAACTCCGATACAAATGAACGAGAAATTCGGGTGACCCTTTCCTGAGGGATCTGACCCATAAGTTGTTGACAGGGTATTGGTTTTGTTTTGAAGCATACGACACACTCATGTGGTATTTTTCTGTAAATGTTGCGTCCGTTTAAGGGCCTGAACACTTACCTAACAAGCGATAATAAGCATCGTGGGTAAATATGCATAGATTTCATATGAAATATCACAATAATTAATTTAGTCAACTTATGATTTTTTGTAAGATTATTGAACATTTTTTTAAACAAAATTTCGTTTGTAATTAGGTATTCTCCCACCAACGCGTAGACTTCTAGTTGGTCTAAAAATGCAAAAATACTTTTTACCTTGCTATCTTGAGTTATCTTACCCTCCTCTTGAATGCTTGAGATTTCTTTTTAAACTCAAGGTTTTGAATCATCTTTCTGACCCAGTTTAAGCTCTACTGACTTTATTTCAGAAATCTATAGATAGCCTAAACCTTTGTACTTTCCTTTGCAGTTGTTAACAAACCTAAAACTAAAACTTAAAACACGAATAATATTAGCATAGCTATTACTTAAATTTGAGAAATCCTCAATTAAAGGATTAACTTTCAGATTAAATGAAATATTAGTGTCATTAGAGGTTTTATGTTCGTCAGGAAAGTATTTCATAATAACTTCATCCGGAATCTCTTTATTTGGATACTCGTTGTTTCTTAGGAACAAAAGACCTTTCCACCACATCAAATTTTATAAAAAAGGTTTACTTAGGTCCAGACCTCGGGATATAAGATCATTCGGATTCTCATTTGATGACACGTAACGCCACTGGTGATCATCACTCAACTCTTAAATTGTTACCACGCGATTTGCAACGAAAATCTGCAACTGGTAACGCTCCCTATGCAGCTAAAAAGTACAATCATGGAATCACTTCAAAGATACACCTTGTTCATAGTGATCTCTAATGCATATGTAACTCTAGTTATAAACCTTGCAAGTAAAACTGCCTCACACAGATCCAACTTTAATAACCAAAACCGCTGGATGAATATTTTGTCCTTATCCTAGTAATACAGTCGCCCCTAGTAATACGGGTAGATTACTAGGGCCGATTTGGTCGAACATAGAACAGTCTTACAGTTGTGGACAATATTTGTCGTTTGATGATAACTATGCCTTTATCGAGTTTCACTCTAGAACTGAAACAGATTTTTCATAAATTTTCAGGAAACTTATAGTGTTGTAGATTCCTCTTCATTACGAAAAAGAAGATAGGTGTGGTTATTTCCCGCAAGTTCGGTATGATGACTGCAGCACTGTGCAGTGTCATTCCTGCGCACTTTAATATCGCAATCAATTGAGACTGAAGCTCTTTTGTGATACTCACAAATTTTTAACCATTCAGTATAACATAAAATAAAAATTTAAAATTAATAAACCTTAAGGGACATACCAAACAACAATTAATTCGAAAGGCTAACACCAAACTTAGTTTTAAACAGAGTTTAACACCACACAGAGTTTTCAAAGAGAAATTAGATATAAGTTTCTCCTTGAAAGTTAATAAGATTAGCAAACTGAACCAATTAATTATATTTCAAATCAAAGCTTTTAATAACCACTTTAAATGAAAACTAATCAATTACAAAAATTAAATATTAATAAATTATCTAACAAGTTAAAAAACACATGTTCTTTGATGTTATTCAATACACAGTGCGTTCGACTGCCGCATATCTAGTCTTGGCAGGTGCATTCTTCAGATCTATTCTCAACTAAAAAACGTCTAGTATGTTTTGCATACAGAATGGCGTTGTGACATCCGCCAGCTTGTAAGACTGATGAACTCTGCGCAGATTTGAAGTCATACAGACTTCAGTGCTCGTAACGTCCATCCAAAAATTATTCGATAGCACGGCCTACGGCAAGCAGATATTTTTGCTACGGATATGATCAGTGTACTAATTAATGATATTATTTATATCAAAATTACCGGAAATTTTATCATTTTATCCTCTCATCGTCAAGTATTTGAAAATAAATAGGATTCATAACAGTTTTCCTTCAAGGTGTAACAATTTTAATGTCCAGACTGTCATTCTATTTTACCCAGCCAAGATCAAACTGTTTAGTGTTCACTGTGCTCTCTGTCTTTGCTGAATAGTTAAGCGGAACAAAACGTTTAACACATGCAAAAGGCATTTAACTTAAATTTCATATTTATGCAAATGAATCAGCATTTTACACGGTGGAAATGACGAAATCTAAATAAAGAGACTGGTTTGTCTTGAAGATGATTTGCGTATCTATCGACCAGGAAACTATATGCTGACAACCTTTGTGGAGAATTCCAAATACAAATTTGCCATAGTAAATGAATGTTAATTCTATAATAATAATAATGATAATTCAAAGTCCAAATCTCTGTGTCATTAGATTACGTTCAGTTAGTTTCTTACATTCGCAGATTATAAAGTGTATTATGGAACTAGAAAGGTGACAAACAGTTGATGTTTTGCGGGATGTGTACATTTACGAACAAAAATTTTCAATATTTTGGAAATATTTGGGACAAGATTTATAAATATGTCTATAATAGCGGTTCTCAACCTTTTGACTAACGCGTATCATCTAAACAAAAATTGAAAACTTTTAGTACCACCACCAATCTTGAACCGAGCTCAGATAGCATAAATTTACGAGTGTTAGAGAAAAACTCAATCAGGATGTTGGGGCTTTAATTTTTGAATTTAATAGTTAAAAATATTTTGCTTCTTTGCGTAGCACCTATTTTTCTCTTGCGTACCACTAGGGGTACGCGTACCACGGGTTGAGAACCCCTGATCTATACTATACAATTGAAAATATAAATTCTAAGAAAACATTTATGAAAAACTACATAATTAACCCCAAAAAGATAACGCCAACCACGTAACTGAAAATAAAAACAATTTTTTCAATTTTTATGAAGTTATCGACAGCAGAGTAATTTATGTGAGCTTCCAATAAAGAAGTAATAAGATTGCCAAGTACAGATTGTCTTTTGTAATTAGAAATAATCTCTTTTTTTCCAAGAATTAATTAAAGGACGGAAAAGCTATTTTATTCTATTGATCCAGAAACAAAATGTATTCACTCAGGTTAACGCAATTACATTGGAATTTCGTGTGTTATAAAAATTCAAGAATTTGGAATTGATTAAAAACTAATGAAGTCAAACTCAGATGCAGTCTTATTACAATTAAATGTCTTTAATTTGAATGGTAACCGTAAGTATTTAATTTCTTAATGGAATAAATAATCATGCATTTTTTAGTAATTAATAGGATAAACAGTTATATGATTAAATGCAAAATGTAAATTTTGGTTTCACTTAAATATTTTTTATTGGGTGGAACAGGATGGTAATTTTCTTATATTACACTATTATAAAATATTTAAACTTCGAAATCGTGCAGTAAGAATTAGAGAAACAGAATTGTAACGTGCTTAATTTCAAGTAAAGTATTATCAAGAAAATGCGTTTACAAATTTCTTTCTTTTTTATATAAATGGTGATATAAATATATACCTTATATGTATATGTTCTTAAATACTATATAAACAAACATAATAAGGATATAAAAATTAAAAACAAAATTTTTTATACGCGTCCTTCGCTATAGCTGCATGATTGAATAAAATAAAATTAAAGCATCTAAAGTTAAAAGTAAATTGGAGTCAAAGCAAGGCAATTCCTCAACAATATTAATAATTGCAACCGTGTACAAGAGGTTTAACATAATATATAAACAAAACAAAATTTAAATAAGAATTCATAGTAGTACAAACTCTAAAATTAAAAATGCAAAAGGGAAAAATATACGAGATAATAAAAGTATAAAAATTAATCTGCTTTTACTGAAACTCCAATTCAAGGGAATCAAGGGAAAATGAATTAAAGTTTCATAAAACTCGATTAATATGTTTCGAAAACGTGTTTCGTTCTCCTGGTTCATTGGAGATCAAAAACCGAAAACAGAAGCACTTAAACTTTCATTCAAGACATTAAACTTCCAATAAAATCGAAAAATTGAATCTCAAATGTACCTGAATTTTCTGTAACACGCCTTCGAAACATTAGAAAAAAGAATAAAGCAAATTGGTCTAAAACCATTTTATGCAAATCCGAAATTTAAAAGAAGATACAAATATATTTTAAATAAAATTGTCATTTAAACAACACTAAAAAATTGTGTGGTCCCCGATTATGCTAAACTAAACTTTTAATACCAAGAAAACAAAAAACTTCTCAAAGAGATTTCTTTAAATAATAAAATTAAATCTGAGCCTTAATCATCTAAAAACTGGAAACCTATTGAAACACAAATTGAAAACAACGCTAATTTCTGAAATCTTAGGACAACCTTCTAAGCGAAAATTTACTGAATTCTTCAGACGACCAAACTGTGTTCCTAGTAGAATTCAGAACTGTTCTGGAGACGCAAAAAATTGTAGTTCTTGGAAAAAGTATGCAATAAAGTTCAAAGTGTCCAATAGCAGAACTAAGTATTTAAACATGTGTTCAAAACGTCATATCACTTTAGATGAGAAATTTTAAAAAAATGTAGTTAATAGCAGCTTTATTTGGAGTTATAGAAATTTTGAATGGAGGTGTTTTATTCTCTAAGAGTATTTTGACTTAATGATTTCTTCTTGTAAGTATTCGACATTTTTGCAAATATTTTTTATTTTAAGGTGCTCAGTATGTATGGCATTAAGTATTACTATTTTGGAGATACTGGAATGCCAATGGATGAATTTTATAGTAGGGAAATCAAAATCTCTTCTTCTGTCGTAAATTTTGATATCTTTAAAATTAGTAATTTACAAATCTAGATAATTAATTTCTCCTTGTTGAAAGTTAGTTTTATTGGGTTTCAAACATATAAATATTATCGTATTCTATTTTTATTGAAGATGTTGATTGCAATATCATTATCATTCATGTTACTTATTTTCCCATTTACAAGCTAGTATAATAGTTATTTGGAAATGAAGAAAAACAATAAAAATTTATAAAAATATTATAGGTTAATTGATAAAAAAGTGTTATTTGTTAACAAATCAGTCAAGTCCTCCTTTGGGATAGTTTCGGGATGTACTTTAAGAAAATTATCATCAAGAAATTTTTGCATATTTTATAGAAGGAATTATTGAATTTACATATTTTATTGAAGAATCCTCTGAGCTTTAGAAATCTTGTCAGAACTTCGATATTTTTTATTTTTGTTGTTTATTTCTTCCTAAAGTTTCAAAAACTTAATGTATTTTGCTTTGTTTGATTTATTTATAACAAAATCGCTCTTTTGATAAACCATTCAATATGCTTGTCTTTATGATTTTACAGTTTGGTTTATTAATATGAATTATTTTGCATATAATGATTATTTTATTATTATTGGTATATTTATTATGAATTATTGTTTATTATAATTCATAGCACAATCCTGGGCATATGTAATGATTTTAATTTTTATTATCTTAAAATTTCATTTATTTGCGATTTTGATGCTTTAATCTTGCTTTTCTTGAAAAGGTCATTATATTGTAGGTTTTCATACACTTGTCTTTTTATTTGCTATATAATTAAATAAACTTATTATTCAAAAATATCTATATTTTTCTGTTGTGATTTGTTTCTCAAGTAAGATATTTCTCAGAAATAGTTTTAATATTAAATAAAACAATGCTCCAAAGAACGAATGTTGGAGATTCTGATGCAACAAGAATCAGAATAAGTTGCATAAATTTGTAGGACTAGTGCCGAACGTTTGAACAGAACCTTCGAAGTCGCTCCTACGAATTTATGCAATTAATCTCATGCTTATTACTTCAGTATCTCCATCATGGTTTTTGATACTCATCGAAAAACTACAAACTATAACCATCGAAAAACTACAAGCAATTGTAAAGTGTCCATTAAATTAAACTCAAGTATTAATTTTTAATCAAGTTTTACGCTACCTGGTATCTTGAGTTGTATCATGGTCTCCGATTTCACGTTTTTCCTTTAGAATTGTTGCTAATGTTATGGCTTTCTTGCTAGCCTCACCTAAAAGAGGCAATATGCCCATTCCTACTGTAGAGACTAAAGGAAAGACTTTGGTTCTTTCCTGCATTCGAGGCCACTGAAAGTCTTCTTCATATGACGAATCACCCTTGAAATCGCCATATTTGCCCACTGGATCCAACCATCCCGAATCAGGCTTTTGAACTCGACTGAACACTTGCGGAAATTTGACGAAAGTGTCAGTATAAGAAGACTGTTTATGATACTTTAAACGAGGTTTGCGAGGTGGTGATTCCTGCGACCCACCTACCGGAATTCTGTCTGGCAGTAAAATGCATTTAGCTCTCGCTTGCTGAAAAGGCCATCGAAATTTGTCTGAAGTTTCGCTAACAACTAAAAATTAAGAAAAAAATATTTACATATGTACTCTTTTGTATTCTGCACTTTTCTATTTTAACGAAAATGTAATAGGAATAAGAATACATCATTAATTTGCAAGGAAAGCAATGTCAATTTCGTCCCATCTTATATCTCTTTATTTAGTGCGTAATTTTTATACAGACCATAAGTGTTGAAATAAAAAAGTAATAACACTTTCAGGCGAATCTTTTTCTTTAAATGAAGGATAAAATTTTCCATATATTTCGAAAAATAAGATTCGAAATTTAAAGCAAAACATTGCAATGAAAAATGAAACCTCTTGAAGTAGTTTAATGCATTAAACAATAGCTTCTTTACTAAAGTACAAGGTACTTTGAACTAACTACTACACACAAAAAAATTAGAGCGAATGAGTCCTAAAATTTCTCGAAATGGAATCTGAAGAGTTTTAGAATCTTTCGAATCACTGGAAGAAGCAAAATCTCTCAAGAAAAAATAAAATTGAAAAAAATGTTTATAGTTAATATAAAAATTTTTAAACAAATAAAAATCTGAAATCTGCATTTAATGAAAAATAAGTTTAAGAAGAAAGGTTTTAAAAATAAATAATTATTTATTAAGGAGATAAAAATAAAGTTTAGTAAATGAAGTACATAATTAAAACTTTTGAATCTTGAGGTTAATTTTACTAAATAGTTTACAAAAAAAGTATCTCAGTAACAATTCACATTTCTTATATTTTTGAAAATCTTTTTAAATGAAATCAAGTGTAGAAGAATTCAAGAATTAGATAAGCATTAAGCATGAAAGGTCTCATTCTTTCTTCAAAAGTGAGAAAGATAGGGAACGTTTTTATTTTAAGAGTTCTTAAAGTCATTAAACATCAAATACTTTTAGGGACAATCTACTGAAGATGAAACTTTTAATGAATATTTTTATTTTAGACAACTAGCATTCTAAACCGCTTTGGGTTCTGGTCTGCTTCGATTTTTATTAATTAGGATATTTTATTTTTTAAAAAGTCTTTCTAGGTTTACTAGGTTATGGTGTTGTGCTTAAGAAAACATTTTAGAGAGTTTTCGTTCACTTAAATGTTTGTTTTCTTTTATAAACATTTCTATTGGATATCAAAGAATTTATAGCTAACATTTGAGAGATTCAAATGATGAAAGACGCGTGAAAATTCAAGCTTTGAAAGACTAAATATTTCTCAAGATTTGTAGATCCGAAGATTTGAATATCCTATCTCAAAGAAAAATAATTAGCTGCTGAATTTAGGTGTACACAAGGATCAATTAAAGTTGTTTATATTCTATTCAGAGACATTAAGACATTGGAAAACTAAATGGTCTATTCTCTTACCGTATAGTTGGTGTTGTGTATTTAATTATGGCAAAGCACACTAGGGCTATCTGCCTAAGGAAAGGGATGCCTTCGTGGAGGGCTTTCTAAGGGAAACTGGCTCGTATACGCGTTACACATGGGGAAACCACAAAATGCCCATGCAGCCAGCCCGTTCGCGGGATTTGAACCTCGGATCGAACTACCAGTGTTCAGTGACTTTACCGCTCGGCGGCTGGTGGACCCTGTATAGTTGGAGAAATAATATTAAACTGTCTTTTTGTTCTATCTAAACTTTTTGTTCTATCTAATCTATTCTAAATTGTCTAAGAATGCTATTAAACTGTCTTTTTGTTCTATTATATTCTTTTTGAATTCTCTGTCATCTAACTCTTCTCTAGTACTGAAGCCCACCAGCGGCCGAGCGGTAAAGTCGCTGAACACTGGTAGTTCGATCCGAGGTTCGAATCCCGCGAACGTGCTGGCTGCATGGCGTTTTCGTGGTTTTCCCCATGTGTAACGTGTATACGAGCCAGTTTCCCTTAGAAAGTCCTCCACGAAGGCATCCCTCCTCTTAGGCAGATAGCCCTCGAGGCTTTGCCATAATCACACACACACACACACTCTAGTACTGAATGTACCTTAATCTCTAGAATGTTATTTAGTAATTAAATTGTAATTATCACGAAATTTTAATTGAATTATTTTAATTAAAATGGTTTTAGAATAACGAAATTAAAAAGAAATCTCGTAGGTCAAAATGTTTATTTGTAACAATATCGTAAATAATTATGCATTACTGCTGGCTGAAACAAATTATGGTACTTTTCTGTTTTCTGGATCGGGTTCAGATTTCGACGCTGAAGATGTGGCGAACACTCGAAGCATAAAAATAATCGCCAAAATATTTACGATACAGTTAAGTTGAAGAAAAGTCTAAGCAAAAAAATAACATAACAGATGTTCGTAAAATTAGAAAATTTTAATGTAAATTAAACAACTTTCCAAAGAAGTCAGGGAAAAAATCGGTTAATGAATTAAGATTAACGCGGAGTCACGAAATTGCGGATACCATTTTAAATGTTCGAAAAAAACGTTAGAGTTTTAGGACGCTTTTACCGACGCATAAACTGGATTAATTGTTTGCGTATAATAACTAGTATTGGAATCGATAAAACTATTTTCAATGTTAATCACAGAAATGTTGAAAATTCTGTCGCTGTTAATTCTTCAGTATTATACTCTTTTCAACAGTCTCAGTATATTGATAGCGCCATGAATCATATTTTCTTCAGTTTCTTTAAGTAAAGGTCTGGCACAGCGGCTACGCACAGTAGCTAAGAAACAGTTTTTCTTTTTCTTGGTGAATCCCGCTGTACACCCACTGGAGTGGCAGTATACGGCCAACGTTGTTTTTTTTTGCGACGTGAAAACAGACTTTCGTCCAACTTCAACAATAGTACCAGTGCCGCCTGTATTAACTGGCGATTTAGATATTAACGCATGACCGCAGACTTCTCTTATGTAACTAATCAAATTAACAACAGTGCAGTGATTCATATCACGTTGATACTGACTAAATTCAAGAAAAGTTAATTCTAAACACCATTCGTAACTGAAACAAAGTTCCGTTGAGAAATTCATTCTAGATCCTTCAAACCAGTGTTGAGAACGTCATCCATTTTCTTTCTTTTTTTTTTTTTTTTTTTTTTTTTTGTCGGCACATTAAATCTTCACGTCTCCATTTCGGTGCTTTTGCCAAATTGAAGTAGAGCTTTATTTTATGGTTTTTCTTGCCTTTCTTTCAGAGTGAATAATTTCGCGTTCTTGAAGAAATTTGACGAAGATGTTTCATAATGAAGTAAGCCCCAAATTTTCATATCCTTGGTAAATATAATAATAATAATAACACATGTTACCAATTACCTCTTTAGAATTTGTTTTCCTGTTGCCAGTTTTGAAAAGGCATCCTTTCACTTAAAAAAAAAAAAAAAAAAAAAAAAAAAAAAAAAAAAAACATTTTAGCGACTTTACAAATAAACACTGGTGACTACATAATGAAAAAATCTTTTTCGAGTTAAGCAAAATATATGGCGATGACTCCGATCTCGATAACAAAATAGCATCCAAATTATCTTAAAAATCCCTTAAAAAGTATATATATTATATATATATATAAAGTGTATATATAGAGTATATATTTATATATGTAAGATAAAAATATGTAAATCGGCTTTGTAATTTAATTTAGTAATAACCTCTTAATTCCTCATTTTTTATTTGGGTATTTCCACTCTTTGTTCTAAAAATAGTAATAACTTTTCTGGACTGTGTCATTTCTAGATTAGCCCATGTCACATGGCTTGCGTAACGCTAATGATGTAGCTGATTCGGAAGTTGAACTCAAAATTTTGATAACTTAAAACTTTCTAAACAAAACCCTCTCTTGGTGAGCTTCCATACTGGATAGTAGCGAACTTTTGCTTTGTGCCACTTGGAAGTTATTTCATTCTGCTCTCTTACTATTGCCACGCTATAGAAAATATGAGCATTCTGGAAATAGGCATGATAAGAGTGCCAAGCGGATTGTGGCCAAAAATGTGAGTTTAAATAAAAAATCAAATTAATCGGCTTCCACTGCCAAGTTTTCTAGTCATTACGGTTTCGACATTTAGCATGCGCAATCACAGTTCTTTCTCTTCAATATGGAGCTACGTTCTGTGCTATCTACGTGCTACGCCATCAGTATTTCTTCATTTCTAATATCCCAGTGTTCCTAGATTAGTAATTTTTAATTTGTTTTTATTACACTTGAATGAAATGCTACATTTGTCCATTTACGTCATCAAAATTCTTGCTGTTCATTATGGATATACAATTCAATGCTTCTACGGCATCGACATTGCTACTTTTTTGTGTAATTATTAGTTATCTTATATATATGTGGCTAAAGTGTGTGTCGCCAATAGTTTATTGGTTGCTTGCGTAACTGTAAATTGTTTTATTCCCTGTGCAATGCAGCGCGTGACGAATATTATGAGAAAACTAAGCCGAAAAAATTAAAAATACAAGAGCACGTGCATTTAACATTCAATAAATAAATTTAACATCTACATATAATAGAATTCGGAAATATTCAACCGGCAAAAACCGGCAACGATGAAAAAACAAATAAAATGAAATAAATAAATATCTTTATTATATGCGGCTTAAGTGTCTGTTTGTCGCCAATAGCTTATTGGTTGCTTGCGTAAATGTACTAGCCAATGGGGTGAAGTTGCTACGGCACAGGGTTGCCGTTTCAATTGAGACGTAGACAATTTCCTGTAAAATTTGCCTTTGCTATGATCATCAATAAGTCTGAGGGCCAAACGCTTAAGCGTGTTGGAATTTTTTTATCTCAGCCTGCATTTGGACACGGTCAACTTTATGTTGCCTGTTCAAGAGTTTGTGAAAGAACGGACGAAAAATTTATAATAATGGATGGTCCTTTGCAATGCGAGCTTAAAAATGATGGAAAGATCCACACAAGAAATGTTGTGTACAAAGAGATCTTTGACATGTGAATTAACATTTTATCATTTAAATCACCTTTATTTATTGAGCTAGCGGTGGCTCTTAAGAAATGCACCGCCATTTGTTTCCTCCATTGCATTCTACTTTAAACAATTAAGAAAGTAGAGGAGTAAACCCCGTGGGGCAATAAGCAAAGGGGCGTCTCGCCGCCTGCCCTGGGTAATTCAGTTTAAATTAGCAGACACCTTTTTACAAATCATTTTAATTACAATTTATAATATCTAGAACAGCGGTCATTTCGTATGACGGCCGAGCTTTCTAGTATATATGTACAGTACATATTCCCACGAGGGAACATAGGTAAGTAATTTGCTTTGAATCATAGCTGTTGTATCGTTTGCTTATTCAAAGAGAGTTGTTTTAAAATTTGCTTCCATTTATAAAAATCTGAAGAAACAACAATTGATAATAAAATATTTTTTTAACATAAATTGATACGAAGAAAGAATTATGAAGGGTTCCTTTTTCTAATGTTTCCAACTAATCAAGCCTCGTTATCATACTTGAAAATAAACTATGCTAATTCAGAGAAAATCATAAATTAAAAAGCATCCAGATAGAATGGATTTGCCCATGGTTTCTGTTGTTTTATTTAATTACGGCAAAGCTCGCAAGGGTTATCCCCAAAGGGGATAGATACCTTCTTGGAAGACTTTCTTAGGGAAACTGTCACGTATACACGTTACACATGGAGGAAACCACGTAAGCGTCATCTGCCTAAGAGGAGAGATGCCTTCGTGGAGGACATTCTTAGGAAAACTGCCTCGTATACACGTTACACGTGGGGAAAACTACGAAAACGTCCATGCAGACAGCCCGTTCGCCTGAAATCAAACCAGGTTCATCGACTTTACCGCTCGGCCGCCGGTCGGCCAGATTTGCCTATAGTTGTAAGTACTTGGACCTCATTATTGCACGTAAGCTCGACTTGAAATATAATTATTTAAGCAATAAGCTGTTATTTCTGCTGGCCGTTAAGTTACATCTAACAGATTGTGTCTATATATTTACATTATACATATTTAGAGAGATAAAATTCATGTATAATTAAATGAAGGTTATTACATTCAAAAGGGGCTTACTTGGAGGTAAAGGTTTATATCCAGCTGGCACAACAAGATCCCACTTCATTTTTATCTATTTTAAGAATTCAGGGTATAAATTTAAAGTGCAAAATTAGAAATTTATGTAGCAGTTTTGGTTGCAGATTTAGGCAATATTTAATCGTTTACGTCACGAGATTTGTTATGAAGCCATTTTTAGTCAAATTTAATAACAGTTATGAGATATTTCTTTCTTTTTTTTCCCTCGTGTATGCGTGTTTGCGTTAAAGTAAAGTAAACATTTTAAAGTACAACAAATGACTTTTAAATTTGATAAGCGAACTATTGGAATAAATACATTTAATCAGCCATTTGTACGAGTTCTAGGACATCGGTTATGATTTAAAACAAATTTGTAGCCAAATACTAACTAGAAATCAATTATTTTAGTAAACATTTATTGGCAACTATGATTAAATTTCAAATCAGGAGATTTACAAGATTTTATAATTAATATTTAAACAAGTTATTTTTTTAATATTTCAACTTAGTTTAAAGATTCTGCAATAACTGTGAGATTCTTCCTCGTGTTTCGAAAATTAATGGGTTATAAATGGACAAAGGAATATTATTATTACGTAAAATCATGAAGCCTTCGTGACAAAGCTATTGAACATTGTTTCTAAACTTTGAAACGGTTCTGTATGATGTTTATTAGGAAACAAATGAACGCTATACGCAGCGGCCAAAAATGCCTGATTTCTAATTACACTGCAGGTATGGGTGATCTCATGTAATTATTGACTGAGTGGATCAAAATGCTGAGAGCTTTATCATTTGCAGAAAGATTTAAACGTGCTATCTCATTAATGGGAAGAACGGAAATTGTAATGGAAGCCTTTGAATTTTTGACAGAATTTAATTATGAACTCTATTCAAATTTTGTTATTTAATTATGAATTCTATTCAAATTAAGTTATTTAATTATGAATTCTATTCAAATTAAGTTTTCGTATTACCAAAACCTGCAAAAAATGCAACCTAAGTATAGCATTTTTTAATGTCCAAAACATTAAGCAGCAAGAACTGGAAATTTGCAATTACCTCAACAAGCATGACATTGATATAATGCTGGTAAACGAAACGTATCTCAGGTCATGCAACAGACTTTTGTACATGGATTTAAAGCTTTGCGAAACGATCGAAAGGATCGTATGCACAACAGAAGGGGTAGCACTGCCATTCTAAATAAAGAGTTATTGTGCCTTCACTCCATATGACCTCACGGTATCATCAGTTTTGAAACAACTGCTGCAGTGGTTCACAATAAACATTGAGACCCACTCGGCTTATAATCCCCTTGGAAATACTATTATAAGGCTGAAATATCTTGACAGTTCACAAGCGGCGCATTTCACCATGCTGTTGCAGGGGACTTCATTGCCAAAAACTCCACCTGGAATTCACCGAATGCAAATATCAATCAACCAGATTTTCAGACTGACTATCCAGTAAGATTCACTTATTACGGATATAATCCACCCTTTAAAATTATTGACTGGTAAAATTTCAAGGAGAATTTAGATAACATTAAAGCAAACGCAGTGCTCCCGAAATTGAATCTGCAATTTCTCGGAGGAATTTTAAGATCAAAGATGCACTCCGAAACTAAAAATGAATATTAACCGCAGCAAATTTCGAGCTTATATTCTTGATGACATCAAAGAAAGGAACAGTGTTGGAGAAGAACTGGTGACCTCAGTTCGGGTGACATTAATTTGAATAACATTTTAATTTTAATGTAAAGATATAATTTTTATTTTATAACTAAACGCTTAATGTACGCACACGCTTAATGTACGTAAGGTACTTTACAGCTGAGTATGTTATTTTAGCGAGCAAAACAATTTTTATCATTGCTGTTACACATTTGTAATCCTTAAATGTAGATAGGATTGCACATTATGAACGGGTTAAAGAAAGCGTATGTCGTTAGTCATAAATTTTAGGTATTAATGGTGAAATTATGAATTTTCTTTGCGCTATCAGCATTTTAATGGAAGACAGTCCAAAAGATGGTATACAATGATCTCACATTTTTCTTTCTTTATCTTTAACATCTCGAAAGGGTTCTTGTACCATCGGATTGTAAATGCTCCTATTTCGCATAGAATGGATAGCCACTAATGTAGGTACTATACAGGTAATTATACAGGTGGGTACTATACAGGTGGGTACTATACAGGTAATCTTTACCTTGCACAACAAATTACCATGACAATCGAACAGCAAAGAAGTAAACTCAGTAACCGATAAAGGAATAAGTCTAAGCAGTTACTAAGTAAATAAAAGGAATTGATTAGAATGGTTTATATAAATTTCGTTCTTCTCAAATTTTGTCTTGGAAATATACCTACAACGTTCAGAGACGAACATGCATAGTTAGATTGCTTTATTTCATTATTAGAGATCAATGGGGACATTTGTTTAAGTTTTTATTTCGTATAGAAGTTACTCTTTCCTCAGTATTAAGTCAGTACGTCAAATGCTTTTCAGATTCCATATTCAAACAACTGGAAAAACTGAAATACTAATATTTCCAGCGTCGATAAATATAAAGATGCTGAAGAACCTTTCAAGAAATAAGAATTTTCAATTTATTTTCTTTTCTTTTGCTTTTAAGAGAGTGGCATTTATTTTTTTCTAAAAGAAGTTCGGATTTTTTTTCCGCTTCCTTCCATTCACTGACGTATGACATTATTTTCTAATGAAGTATCTATCTTTTCCAATGCTGCCTTTTCCATTGGTGACGTCTATTGAAAAGAAAGTCACGAAGATTCCTAAGAGGAAATATGAATTTCTTATTTAAAAAGTTGAGCAGTGACAGATTTCTTGACATCCTCTACATTACAAAAGATAAACAACAGGAGTAAGAAACTTTTAATGCAATAAAAGTTGCTGTGTTATAAAAGAAAGACATTATCAACGTTACCAAATACTGACATAAAATAAGTTATAAATGCAAATAAAATGTTACGTACTGAAAGAAAAAAGAGTAGCTATTGCCAAAGTATTATTGAAGATTCTAGATAATGTTTGAAAATAAAGCCCATTTGTAAAGAACGAATGTCTTTAAAATCTTTCGATACCCTTCTGCAGATACATGATAATTTCATTTTTTAGACCTTTATGTCTTCTTTTATTTACTCTTTCAGTATTTACCTACTTTACATCTTTACACCTTCCTTTTTTACCTCCGAGCCTATATTACATAGATAAGGTTTGGGCTTAAAAATTCGATAGTGAGTTTCCAGTGAATAAGCACCAACTAGAGCTCCCACAGCTCAATATTTTACAGCATTTACAATAATATCTGCTTGTCTGTGTGTGACAAATTTTTTTATCCACGATAACTTTTATATAAAACCTCCGAAAATTTCAGTTTTCCATATTTAAGCTTTCTGCATTCATGTACACAGTTGATTAGAACTTGGGCAAAATTTGCCGACTGGAAGGGTTACTATAATTGAAGTCTATAACAGGTTTTAATGAAAACTATAGTAAAGTAATTCAAAACTTTCAATTTTTGTACTTAAGACATTTGTATCAATATAAACAACATATTAGATTTTGATTAAAATTGATAAACCTGGAGTTACTTGAAGATCTGCACGGATTTTCCAGAAAACATATATGATATAATACGAAACTTCTCAAATGCGGTATTGAAAACTCGGATAAGAACATACGATGCATATACTACAAACATGACTGGGAACAACATGTTAGATTTTAACTATGTATGATAAACAAGATGAAGCCGTTTACTTGGAACTCTTAACAGATTTTCGTAGAAAAATGTAGAATCACTAAAGTAAGAGATTAATTTAAAATAATTCATCATATATAAAGGTTATTTCTTTTATGCCTACATATGATATTTATTTATGCCTACATGTAGAAGGGAATAAATTTTATAACAGCATTTCATTTGAAGAACTTCAAAAGTAGTATGAAACAGGGGATTCACCGACAGGAGGCAGATAGCGGATGAGCCTGCAGGTTATTCCCGCAGGCGGATTGCAAATGAACCCGCATGTGGATTGCGGATGAGCCAGCACGCAGAGGCTAACTGATAACAAGTTCTTCTCTTCATTTAGCTGTAAGATGACGTCACAGTTTGATGAGAGATTATCTTTTATTGATTTTCCGGAAACAAATACCTTTGTTAATAATTTTTTAGCCTTTGTATTTCCTCTTCGTATTCCAGCTATTTATACTACATATATGATGGTTATTTCCTAGGTACCCTTAACGGCGCTTATTTTCGAATTTAATAATTGATTCAGAAGGTCTTAACTTTAGATGTAAAATTTAATTTTTCCGTATATTTTAAGCCTTATAATTTCCTATATATTCAGAATGTTGCATTATTTCTTAAATCTTCTCTTCGTAATACCACATTTACTTTCCGTAATCTTAATTACATTACTCATTTTTATTATTAAATTCATTTTACCCAGAATATTTTTCATACTTGTTAGCCAATACTTATTTGTTATATTTTACGAGTGTAATTATTAAAATACGTTTTTTTTATTTAATATATTATTTAATTTTAGATATAATTTTTTTAACTTTAATCGCTCTTTTAACGTTTGAGGTCTTCAACATATTGCTGCTTGCGTACGGGTTCGTAATAAATTGAATGCACAAGTCCGATAAAATTATTTTCATCACAAGAAATAAAATAAAATTCTGAAATTTTTCTTCAAAGATATTCGTACAATATCACACTGTAATTATATTTTAAACTACTAAGACGTTACATAGAACTCAATTCAAAGCGCAGAGAAAGCTAATTCGATCTCACCGCGAATTTGCTACAATCAACAACAAAAATAACTTTGTAAGCAACCGAACTGAGATGTTTTCCTTCGGCTTATTTAAAGCTTTTTTAATCATGCACGAGAACATTCTGGTAATTTTTATTTTCTTGAGTTCCTGGAAAGCAAAAGAGAAGAATTACGGTTACAGCTAACACACAATTGCATTTATTCAATTTAAATATAAATTACGAGATATCTATTTATTAAATGTTAAA